TCTCCAGAAGACAAGACCGAGAATGGGTGTGCTGCAGTAGACAAGAACATGATATGTCCCTGTCATGGCCAGCCGCTTCATCCTTCATTACAGTCACTGGCAAGTTTCGCCCTTGTGTAATCCATTCCCCGCAAAGATTCACCAGGATCCGGTCGGAGTTGGCCGTCTGCTCAGAGGGTAGGATCTTAGCGCACGGATGGGGATCTCACCGAGGTGGAGAGAATCGTTCATGGTCCAGGCTAGAAGGATTGACATGTGCTGTGACGATAATCTTTCCTTACGTTCATGAGTTGGTCACCCACTTCCGCATTTGTCCAGTTGCCAATCATAAGGGACGTCAATTTTCTTGATAGTCATGACTTTGGTGGGGAGGAATTGAGACTTCCATAGCGTGGGCAGATTGTTGGGCGAAAGCCTGTAGGAGCTGACGGGAATTGACGCCTGCCATTCGACGAGTCGGCGGCAATGCAATTGACTAGTCAGATGGAGGGCTAAGCCGGCTGTTGATCCGACCGACACAGAACCAATCCCAGGAGAGGAGAATATCGAGGAGGGTATCTCGGTTTTTCCCAGTGATAGCAAAGTAGCTGCGTGGCGCTCTTTGAGGCTGCTGCTCTTGGAGCGCGGTTGTGTTGGAAACCACCGCCATCCCTTCTCTCTTCTGGTATTTCGGTTGCTGGGTTCTGTGCTATACTGTTTAGCTGACGCCATTTTTATTGATGGTGTTGTGAAGACTGCGGACAGGCGGCCTAGGAATTTGTCATGAGCCGGGTCTTCTGATTCTGGACCCCAGGGCCCAGAGTGTGGGGGGACAGACTCGGACGATCTTGGTTCGCCTTACGTTATTCTAAAGCCGTGCAGCCCTGTGTATAGTCGGTACCGTACATATCGGGAGGATTCACAGCCTGTCGAAACTGCGAGAGACGTGCGGAGGAGTGACGAAGACATCAAGGCTGATGCTGACATACATAATGTCTGGTCTGGTTGGTATTTTGGGAAGGCAGGAGCTCTGCACTGCCTGTCCAGTGGCCTGCCTACTATCTAGGTACCTGGGTACCTGAACAACATGGAAGGACCAAGGCCCAGATGAACATCAACTGATCACATATCCATCAAGAAATTGCTTTGGCGACATCAATTTTTGAACTTCTCCAACCTGGAAATCCTCCCTGTGGATCCCAGGCAGATAAACAATGTATCGTAAGGGATTTTGCCAGCTCGCCCAATATCCGCGTCTCGACCGCCTCGGATAGGAGTGTATGCCTACGATGACAACCCCTCCTGAGAATGCCAAGCTGAAGATAACCTAGGCTGAGTCGGATCTCACTAAAATCGAAAAGAAATAAAATTCTTGTTGGACTGGGCGATTATTCGAGCCCCTACGCGCAGCTCAGAAACAATGCTGATCGTGGACTTGATATATTCTCGACAGACGCGGAGTGAGGCTCTCCAGCGGTGGCAACAGCCAGCCATCGCGCAGCAAACTCTCTTGGCGTTGGTAATTCCTTCGATCTAATCATCGGCAATTCCTATGTCGGATGCTTCTCTTGGATTTTATGCAGTTCGTGCCGCCATCTCCAGACCTTGCACAATCCGTTGTGTCAAGTGAGAGGCACCGGCAATGTGGTGACGTGTGACTGAAGGCTGAGTCGAAAGCCGCGTCCATGGTTGGCTTGTTGTATTCAATTTGGACCCCGCAATGCCATAACGACTGTCATGCCTCGTCTTAAGCCTAGGAAGCCTTGAAGTCCGCCCGAGAGACCACTACGCAATCTCTCTGCTAATCTCGAACGTCGATGAACCTTGCATAGAGCCGTTTTGGGCAATTCGCATAATGTTTACCGCCGGAGATTCAGCTCTACGATCCATCAGAGAGGCCTTTCGGAGGCCCAGCTACGGTGCCGAGGTGCGCTACGCTCTGTGGAAACAGATGAAAATGTGCCAGCTTGTGCGCAATGGCGAGTGCGACTGGATGGCAATACGCCTTTAGCGACGCCTGAGTCGCCTCTCAGCGACAGTGAGCCTCACCAACATGATCAATTTTCACCTTGTGTGGGGAAAAGGGAGGTCACCCAGGTTAAAAAAAGCCCCGTACGCTACAGAGGATCCCATACAAGTAAGCACCCGTGATGCCGCCTTTTCTTGAGCTAGGAGGGCCGACGCCGCGCTTTGCTCAGGCGTATTCTGAGAAAATATATCATGAAGTAGGTCTGTGGACAAGAGCCCTGGCGATCGCCTCTGAAGGTCTTGGCATATAAGAAGCCCTCAATATTGGGCTATAATTCTATAGTCATCTTCCCTTTGCACCTCAATCTTCTTTGCATCGACTTCATTTCTTCTCAACTAGTCACCACAGGGAAACTCAGGACGGGAACCTTGGAAACCATCTCGTGTATAACAACCTCTTGATTCCTATATGGTTTTCACATAAAGCATCGCCATGGTGTGTAACGTTCCGACCTAGTCTGGGAGTCTGTAAGCTCCTGAAGTCAAAACTGATATGCCAACGCAGAGAGTCACGATCCGAACCGCTAGGCAAGCAGATGATGTTGGCCCAGGTTCTACAGCGCTTGAACTACATCCCATCCCGTCAAGGCGGTCACTTGTCGTCAAAGTCGTCCCCCCCAGAGCGCCAGCAGCCCAAATCGAACATGTTCCTTGCGACATCGTCCTGGTTCTTGATGTGTCCACCAGCATGGAGGATGATGCTCCTGTTCCGGGAGAAGCGGAGGAAACGGGTCTCACCGTGTTGGATTTGACCAAACATGCCGCTCTGACCATTATCGAAACATTAAATGAGAAGGATCGACTGGGAATAGTTAGCTTCGCCACGAATTCCACCATTGTGCAAACTCTCACACACATGGACATCAGCAACAAGGAGGAGGCTCGGAGGAAAATAAAGGCCCTTGATCCTAATGGGAGTACGAACTTGTGGCACGGTATTCGGGATGGCATCCAGGCATTTGAACAGTCGTCGGAGAATGGAAATATCCGTGCTATGATGGTGCTAACGGATGGAATGCCCAACCACATGTGTGTTTCCCCTTTGCTCTTATGGGCTCACCGTGAGCATTCATCTAACTCTGTGGATAGGTGTCCTCAACAGGGCTATATCCCTAAACTCAAGACACTATCACGCCTCCCCGCGACGATCCATACCTTTGGGTTTGGATATGGCCTGAGATCAGGTCTGTTGAAGTCTCTGGCTGAATATGGCCACGGTAATTACGCATTTATCCCCGATGCTGGCATGATAGGCACGGTGTTTGTCCACGCAGTTGCGAATCTGCAGGCAACATTCGCTACTGCAGCCACATTGACGTTGACGTATCCCAAATACATGGAAATACATGAAGTTGGTGCACAGACTGTGGTAAAGCAGCTACCGGAGGAGGTAGGAACACAAAGCAGCAGGCAAATGGCTTTGCAAATTCCCTTGGGCAGCCTTCAATTCGGCCAATCTCGAGACGTGTTCCTCCGTATCACTGAATCACCAGGCGAAAATGATACAAAAGCAGCGAGTTGTCACGCCCTCGTTGTATCTGCTACTCTCTCCTACAGGCCTGCAAATATCTACGGACAGAACATGGTAGGTACACCTGTTGTCATCGCCGCTAGGGCCAACGTCTTTGAGGCATCAAGTATGCCCGATGCTGAGATTGCATATCACGAATCGAGAGCTGAAATATGTAGCTTCTTGCCGTCAATTTTCCCCCTCGGCCCTGATTTCGAACACCGGCCCAACTTGGGCAAACATGAAACTTACAAAAAACAGCTGGGCAGCCTTATTAGCGAAATTCCCGCCAAAGACTTTGCTGACGAGAAGAACATGTCGCTGATGCAAGACCTCATTGGCCCAGAGCCGCAAGGTCAGATCTCTATGGCCATCAACGACATCAAATTCCTCCAGAAATGGGGTATTCACTACCTACCATCCTACTACAACGCCCACTCTCGGCAAATATGTAATTCATTTAAAGATCCCGGACCATTGCGATACGGCGCTGACAGCCGCCTGTTCATCGAGTGTCGAGATCGTCTAAACTCGGCCTTTGACAACCTGCCTCCTCCAGAACCTACCAGTAACAGAAGGTACGGCGGTCACTCAGACTCTTGGGGTAACAGCGCCCCCGTCAAAATGAGCCGATATAGAAACGCCTCCGGCGTCTGTTTCGCAGGCTCGGCGCCAGTGGAACTCGGATCCGGAAGAATGGTTCACATCCGACGACTGCGCCGGGGAATGAAGGTTCGTACGCCAACGGGCACCCGTAAGGTGGCCATGGTGCTGAAGACTGCGGTCCAAGGAGAGACTCTTTGCCGTGTAGGAAGCCTCCTTGTTACGCCGTGGCATCCGATTTCCGCAGATGGCAAAGCCTGGGGTTTCCCGGCATTCCTTGCGGATGGAACAGTTGGATATACGGGATCAGTGTATTCCGTCATGCTCCAAAGGGACGGGAATCCACGGTCTCACGCTCTTCGGGTAGCTGGGACTTGGGGCGTGACTCTTGGCCATGGTCTCACGGCAGGCAACGAGACGCGTTCCCATTACTTTTTTGGCGACTACAACCGCGTGGGCAAGAGTCTCGTTCAGCTGGGCGTGGGTGAGCTTGGCGTCGTGGAAGGAAGGGGCGTTGATCGTGATGCCAGCGGATTGGTTTGTGGATTCAGGCGTGCAGAACAACCAAGGAGGCTGAGCATCGAGCACAGTGGCATACCGCCGAGGAGTATCGTGACGCATACGACGCAGTGCATTGGCATTGAATCAGCATGACACCCAAGATGGTATTTGGTAATAGAAGCAGACTCGTAAGCCCCTCATAATCTATTCAATACAACTACTCACTCTGAGGCCCATTGTTGGTGGTGATGTATACTTGTGTAAAATATATGACACTGCTTTCCTGTTTTCACAAGCCCAAGTTCTGCAAACCCCGCCAAGATGAAACATATTTCAAACGGCAAACACAATCCTCCAAAAAAAAAACCCCATCTTCCACTTAATCCTCCCTCGCAAACAGGCCGGCCATGCCCATGCCCGTCCCAACACACATGCTCACAACGCCCAAATCATGACCATCCCGCCTCATCCCGTGCATCAAGGTACTCGTCATCCTGGCGCCCGTGGCCCCCAACGGATGTCCCAAGGCAATGGCACCACCGGTCGGATTCACCCTGCCGGCGGCCCAGGCGTCCTCCAGTCCCAACTCCCTCAAACAATAGAGCGCCTGGCTCGCAAAGGCCTCGTTAATCTCCCACCTGTCCACATCGCCAACGGCCAGGCCATGCGCCGCCAGCAGCTTGGGGATGGCGAGGGCGGGCCCGATGCCCATCTCGTCAGGGGCGCAGCCCACCACGGCGGCAGACACAAACTTGCCGATGATGCGATCCGACAAGCCGAGCCGCGTAGCGGTGCCCCTGCTCATAAGCAGCGTCGCGGCCGCGCCGTCCGAGACCTGGCCCGGGTGGCCGGCGGTCGACGCGCCGCCGGGCTTGAACGCGGGCTTCAGCCTGGCCAGCGCCTCGACAGAGACGGAGTCGCGGATGCCGTCGTCCCTCGCGACCGTGACCTGCTGCTCGGCGCCGACGCTGCTCCCCTGCCGC